TTTTTTATTGAGTTTATATCTTTTTTGTGCATTTAATAGGTTTGCAAAGTGAAAAAGCCCAAAGTCCACCCCAAAGGGAGTTCCCATCTCCCACAGGAAACTCTGCTCTGAACTGAGTGAATACAGCTCGTTTGTAGTCCAGCCGTTTCTTCAGCTTTCTTGTGAGATCACAGGAAAACATGCGTCATAATGCTCGCCTAGTGGCTAGTCCTAACGCCCTCTAAAAACATTGTTGGAAAAACACACTGAGCTGCAGCACACAGTGACAAGATGTCCACCTGCTGCCTCCCCTCTCCCTTCCAAACATTAGCTACCCTCCTCTTTATGTATGAAAGATACATTTGTTACAGATTTATAACTCACCTCTGTGAAACTTTTGCTCCAGTCTATGTTGCTAAGCTGGAAAGGGGAACTTATACAGCTGAACCAAAGCCCTGTTTACCGGCTTCTCACTGACCCGCCCTATTCTGCTTCTGACAGGCTAGCAGTCCTTAACTAACAACCCCCAACAAAGATATTGTAGATGTGAGATGCATCACTCTATAGCTAAAACGGAATGTTCAACACACATGGTGAAAAGAGGAGCTGCAGCAATGTGCAGTATGACAAAAAATATGTTGTTTTTTGAAAAAGAAACCATGTAAACCTGTTCTGGTACAACCCCTAAATAAAATTAGTTAGTTTTTTAATAATTTGGGATGTTTTAAAAACTAGGTTTTATTTCTATATAGCTTTCAAGTCTTTGGAACAAAAAGTCTTAACTAAAGGTCCACTTACTAGCGTTTTTTACAGTACATTACATTTACTCATTTGGCTGACGCTTTATCCAAAGCGACTTACATTTGAAGAACAACATAAAAGCATCAGTAAAGTAAGAGATCTACAAGTAGCAACAGATACTAGTAAGAGCTGCAATAATACTAGTAATTATGAAGTTATTAATGCATACGGCATCAAACGGATACCTAGGAGAAGCAATGAGAGTTAACAAATTAGTGCTGTCAAGACAAGCTGGTTGTAAGAAGATAGAGAAAGAAAAGCACAGGAAGTGCATGTTAGAGGTTAGAGGTAGTCTCTCTGTAAGGAAGCATTAGTTAGCATTAGCGAAAACCCAACACATCACCCCACAAACTGGAAGACCCACTAGGCATTGGTCATTGCAGTAGTCAAGGGGAGTGATAACTATGGCCTGTATCAGAAGCTGGATAGCGTACTGAGAAAGGTCAGTAAGGCCTGATTTTTTTTTTTATGTTGTATGGAGCAAGGCGGCACAACGTGAAACAGCGGTAACGTGGTCCGAGAAGGACACTTGATTTTTCTTTTTTTGTCTTTTTTGTTGTTTGTTGTTGTTCATGGATTAGTTAATGACGTTTTGGAATCTCATCTTTGCTTTCTTGAGAAGGTGGATGGAAAGTTTCCTGTTGGTACGCTAAACATAAAGCTACAACCAGCAGCCAGATGAGATATAACTAATTAACATGTTATATTTTGTTTGTTTAGCGCGTACAGCCAGGAAACAGAGATAATAATAGAGAAAAACAGAGCAATGCTTTCAGTAAAGCTTCACTTTCTAAATAAAGGTCAACTACTCTAAATCCCCATAAGTTATTTTTACAGTTTTTTTTCACGGTTTTTGTATGGGTTAAACAAAAAAGATATAAGGTGTTAATTAGTGAGGTTTAGAATAACTGGTTTACTGGCTGCTGGTGGTATAGCTTAATCTTTACCAGACAGATGTGAGAGTGGTATCGATCTTCTTATCTATGTAACTCGGAACAAGAAAATCAAAAAGTGTATTTCACAAAATGGCGGAAGAGTCCTATAAAAGCTGTGATTTAACGAGCAAAATTCTAAATTAATTCTTCCTCAAAACCCATGAAGGTGAATGAGATGACAAAAACACTTAAATGCACATGATTTTCTTGGTTTTAGTTTACTATGACACTGGCTCATGCATGCACATAGGCATGCAGATACAGATGCGTACACACACACATGCTCACACACGAATAGGCCATTCACTTCCCGAGCCCCAGAGAGTCACTAATGCAGAAGAAAAAGCTGTCAGTGGAACAGTTACTGGTTGCCTCATGCTGCTACACTCTTGTTAATACAATCCCCCCTCTGCTGTCTTTCATATGCGCTCTGTGAAGCTGCTTCCCTCAGATAATATTCTGAGGTCCTTTGGGAATCTCCAGAGACTCCAGGCAGACAAGATGTGCTTGTCTGATAAAAGAAAGTGATGTGTACAAGTGTAAACATTCAATATTATTCACTCACTGCTCGCTCTATGCTTTACGCTGCGTCTTATCTGGAGCTCACTGGCTGGGGGCTTTTCTTTCTCTTGTGAAGCCATCTGTAAAGACTAATTCAATTGGAGTGGAGAGGCATTTCATATTTGATGCATGGACATGCGCCTTACAGAAAAATCTGATATCGCTTTATACCACAATGGGAAAAGGTGTGTTATGAATAACAGGCTGCTTTGTCTCTTCCATGGCGGTATGGTTGTGCTCTTTTAAGAAACAGGAAAGGGCAAATGAAATTCACTTCCTGTAAACCTGTTACCCAAGAGGAAAAAGAAGAAGAAGATGGTGATGATGGAGCATTGCACTGTGAAAACCTGTCTCTGGAGAGTTTCAAAACTAACACTTTATGCTGATAGGCATTCAAATTAATGTAACGTCCCTGTCTGGCTGTCAATTTAACTGCAACTTTGACGCTTCAAGTACCTTTTCCTTTCCTTTCCAACTTTGTATGTACTACAATAAACTGTTTTCAGATCAGTAGTAATGATCCCTTTTACAGTACTGGTGCAGCTGTGACATATATATATATATATCCACTGGAGGACCACAGCTCTAAGCGATAGATGAATCTGCAGGCACTATGAGGGCATGTTTTTTTATTGTTTTATTAATATGATGCATTTCCTGTTGATAAGGGACACTGAATTGGTGCATAGTTGGAAAGAGAAAGGCAGAGATCTGCGTGCACAGTGTGATGTAGCCACTAAGATAATGTAAAAGGATTGCTTTTCATTTAAGGCCTGCCAGAGTTCTCCTTATATTTGCAGCTTGACAGTGCCTAACTATTGTTATTTACTCCCACTATGTTCTTTTATGATTTTTCACCTCTCTGTTTATAGATGACAGATTCAGTTTACTTGCTGTAATTGACATGAACGCAGAATTCAGCAGTGACAAAAGCAAAACAGTTCAGACAAAAAAACAGCTGCATTTTTTGTTGAATGATATTGCACTGCTCTTTCAATCAATCAGTCAACACTGATGTCACTTTGACATAACATTTGCAGATGCGGTCTTCCCAGCTCTGTGGTGGACACTAAGTGATATGGCCAAAAACATCACTTTGGGAAATCTCTTTCATCAGTATGCTTTATTTGTTCCATCCTGTATCAGCTACAGGAAAGCTAATGGGCGTAAGTCACTAAGATACTGCACGTTGGCTAACTGCAGTGTGTTGACATCTTCCACTTCGCTTACTGCCTGTTGCTCGACACTCTGACCACCTCAGAAAACCTTGCTTAATACTGTGGCTTTCCTCCCCCTGTTTGCTTAGTTTCATTGGTGTTCTTGGGCAGCATTCAGTGTTAAATGCCACATACTTAGCATAAACAGTTTCTGGATGAAGCCCCATTAATATCATTAGCAAAGGATTTAGGCTTCAGTGTGAGGCAGAAAACAAGCATTCTCAGTAAATTACCTTGTTTATTAGAGGAATAACTTATTGATTGTTTGATTAAATTTTCTTGGGCCAAGGTGCAAGGTCACAGTGAATGAAAATGAGCTGAGGAAGAGTTTACTGGCCTTTTGTTTTCCTCTGCCTTGGAGTACTTGCATTATGTTACTTAATTATTAGCAACAAACTACTCCTTACCCTGTACGGAAATTAGTTTATGACCAAATTTAACAGAAATATTGAAGCAATCATGATTAATTTAGATGCATAATTAACCCCAACATACAACAGAATGCCCTTTATTTAATATGAAAACATTTATATTTGCAGGTCTTGGTAGCTTTGGTTTTTCCTGGGAAAACAAGCGTCGGATACATCAGAAATAATGTATTTTCTGTTTCCTATTTCTTTGGAATAAAAAAAAAACTTAGCTTATCCCAGATCTGTGTATATGTCCTCTGACCAGAAACTGCATTACAGAAATGCCAAAGATATATTTGAGCCATGCTAGCGGCTTTGTGAGGCCGTACACAGCGGTGCTTTGAGCTTAATGCTAATGTCAACCAGCTAACATGCTCACAATGCTTAGACCTGGACAGTAGGAATGAGCAGCGATAGCCAACATGGCTGAACAAACAAAGACTTGTGTTGACTGATTGATTGAAAGGGCAGTGCAATATCATTCAACCAAAAATGCAGCTGTTTTTTATCTGAACTGTTTTGCTTTTTTCACTGCTGAATTCTGTGTTCATATCAATTACAGCAAGTAAACTGAATCTGTCATCTATAAACAGAGAGGTGAGAAATCATAAAAGAACATAGTGGGAGTACTGTCAAGCTGCAAATATAAGGAGAACTGACAGGCCTTTAATGAAAAGCAATCCTTTTACATTATCTTAGTGGCTACATCACACTGTGCCCGCATATCTCTGCCTTTCTCTTTCTAATTATGCACCAATCCACTGTCCCTTTTCAACAGGAAATGCATCATATTAATAAAACAAGATGCCCATGGCTCATGGTGCCCATAAACACTGATTCATCTATCTCTTAGAGCTGTGGTCCTCCAGTGGGTCTCCCAAGTCCACGGCTGCAGCCGGAGTGAAAGCTAGCAGGCAGAATAGAAAAGCAGCCAGTCTCCAAACCCAATTCAGTGACAAAAAAAAATACACACGCAGCTCTTTGAAAAATGAAAATGAAAGATAATAACACATCATATAATTTGTGGCTGTCATACATGTCGTACATTTCAAGATAACTCGCTCACAGATGAACCCTTTTCTGTCTCCCCAACCCAGTTCCTGTGTCTGAAGAATATAAGGACTTTCCTGGCAGCATGCAGTGACATATTCGGCATGAAGAAAGGCGAGCTGTTCGAGGCCTTCGACCTTTTTGATGTCAGGGACTTTGGAAAGGTAAGGCAGCACTAGCACTGCTCAGTGACCAAGAATGAGATAGGGGCTCGATTCTTGGGAACCACGGCCTGTATCCACCCTCACTGTGTTTGCCAGCTGTTCCAAAATGTGCTTTTATGCCCACTCTCGTCTTTGAGTGGAAGTTATGGAACTAAGTCAAAATGTAGTTAGTGAAAGAGCTCCTTTAACTTGGACTTAGATTTTAAATTATAATGAATGTTCTTGGGATGTGCATCCAGGGTCTATGCTTCTCTTTGCTAAGACTTATACGAGCCTTTGATATTTCCGACACATTTTGGATAATCTTTGTTTAGTTCATGTCATTGTAACTGCAATTCTAATGGCCTCTAGGTCATAGATGTTCTTACAGGCATAACAAGTGCTAATAAACACAATATTAGGCCATATTGCAGCATTCCTTGCACTCGTAAACTCTACGCTACCGCTGCTGTCAGCAGCATGACCCAGCAGTTTAATCACATCCTCTCATTAGAGTGAAAATGCATCAGCGTGCAGGCTTTTACGAGGGGTTAAAAGTCTGGCCTCGGGTTCATTACTTTGATAGTACTCTCTGTCTCTGCTTGTGGTGCTGTGAAACTGTCTGCGGCTGTTTGACAGCCCTGCTGCTGCCCTCGTGAAGTCCCCAGGAGCTTTAATTAGAAATCGCAGCCTTGGGCAGAGAGAGGGTGCTCCTGGACCCTGGTGCACACGATGTCAGGCGTGAAGTGTGTGTGTGTGTGTGTGTGTGTGTGTGTGTGTGTGTGTGTGTGTGAGACAGTGGGAGAAACACTGGAAGACAGAGACAAACTGATGGACGAGCTGTCATCATCCTCCATTTAATCATGATAAAATCTGTGATGAAGTGGCATGTAGAGTATCATGGGTAGATGAAAACCCTCCAGTGACACCAATAAATATAATAATATCAGGGATTAATGTTATACAGCTGAGATTAAAAAAAGAAGCTGCTTTACACAGTATGCATTTTGTCAGCTCTACGATAAAGCAAATGTCCATCATATCAGAAGTGAAACACTGAATGTGATATAGCTGATTTCTAATAATAAGGAACATTAAACATGCTTTGGTTTCTGTTTAGACACCAATTTATTAACATTATTCACGTGGCTGTTATAGTATAAGGGAACTAAGTCATCAGCACAAAACCACATCTTACAGAATAAAAAGAAACTCACCGTCACTTAATCACAAATTCACTCTTTTCATGATAAATGGGAAAAATTCCTCTCAGTGTTTGTCTCTTGAACTTCCCTTTTCATGGCAAACACACACGTCAGGGAGCAACACTCTACCAGACAAAAGTTTACGAAAGCAGCAGCTTGTGAAATGGATAGGTGTGAAATTGCCACAGCACTAAGGGCGGCAAACTTGGTTCATCTTAACTGTTCATTGATAAGAACACAAATTGGCAGAATCATACATGTTCCCTAGTAGACGTTGGGGCCAAATAATTTTGGTGTTTGCATAGTCATAACTGAAAATGATGAATAATTGGCCAATATCCACTGAAAAATATTCACTTAATGAAGGCTTTGAAATATATGTTAATACTGTCTCTCAGATGACCTGCTGATGATGTAAAATGCATGAAAAAAAGAGATATTGTGTAAAAATGTCTAAGAATGGAGAAGGGGAAATGAGAAGGGCTTTAGATAAGGTCAAACTTATCTAAAGCCCTTCTCAACCTTTTTATCTCTACTCTACATTCTTGCTGGTGTGTTGAGCTGAATTAAGTAACTGAGAGAATTAAGTCATCTATTCATTTAGTCATGTATAATTAAAATCCATTTGGATCGCCGGCAAGTTTATTTCTTTACCCTCATAGGGAAATATTTTTCCAGGAAATCTACAGAAGAACCAGCAGTGGCTCGGCGGATTAAGATACGCAAATACACATCTTTATCCTTACTCCTAAAATGTTACTGTTTGGGGCTTTGTAGATTTGCTAATCCTCGTGATTTTGTGCTCCTTTTCAAATGTCAGCGCCTTCATGGATTTTAAAGAAACACTTTGAAAAACACCGGGTATGATTTTCAAATGAAATAATAACAACAACATGAATTTTTAACAAAACGGGTTGCAGGTATCACATCCATTTATCTGCTGTGTTAGAGTAAAACATTTTGGGAAATACTACATGTCTATCACGTGTAGTGACGTGGGAGAAAAACCTTCTGCTGCGCCACTAGTCTTTAAGCCCTCTCACACGCTGCTTAATTATTTTTCAATAAAACACTTGAGTCGAATACAGTTCAGTGCAATATAAAATAACCTTCTGCTCCTCCTTCTGTGGGACTTATTGCAAGGCCCACCTCTCCTAAACTTATCCTGTCTACCTTTAGACACCACTGTTTTTTTAGCCAGCTTCCTACTAAAATTGGCTCTTCTTGGAAGCAGTGGTGTCTTTTCCCCACAGCAGAATATAAAAAATAAAGGCTTTATTGCAGCACTGTATGCAATCAATGAGGAGAAGGGTTGGGTATCGTTTACATTTTATCGATTCCTATTGTGATTCGGATTCCGAATCGAATCTCGGTTCTGATTCCAATGTTATTTGGTAAGAAAAAAAAATTTCACGCAAAAAAATGCCTACCTTTATTCTTGGCACATTTAGGCTATAATCACTATTATGCACCTACCACGGGGTAGGCCTTTTCAGAGTTTACTGTAGACTATAACTTTAGTTGTTCTGTCGGCTGTTTCTGATGTGCTATGACTCAGGAAAATGTCAAAGAAGGCTAAAGTCCATGAATATTGCTGAATAAGCAGATATCAATAATGCATTTTGCATACCTAAACGGAGGACACTCAACCGTAGCAAAGCGATGTAACCCCTTCACTTCAAATGTTGTCACTGCTTGGTGACATTCATCCACTTTCTCCTTGCTCACCTTCCCCTTCATGGCTACTGTGAAAGGAGTTTTTGTACTAGAGGGGCGTCTCTGGAAACTCGTATTTAAGATATGCTCGCAATCGTCACGCACAAAAACACATGATTCGACTATCAGTCGACTATAGGCAGGTCTTGACGATTGTGATTCGACTCTGTAAATCCTTAGTCGGGGACAGCCCTAGTAGACATCATTCGTTTACCATCAGTATAGGTGAACGTCAGCTCACCTACATTTCTGTTCCTGAACTTGAGACTTCGCTACTGTTAGCGTTAGCTGTATCTGGGGCTTCGTTGTATCTGGGAGAGTGCAACACGCTCAGCAACACAACTGAACATGGTACAATCTTTAAGACTGACGCTGTGTTGAAGCAAAGGCTTCGTCATGTTGGAGCTGCTTCCTCCCTTGCACCAAATCTCCTTACTGCAGGTGTTGCATTTTGCCGTATCTTTTTTAGTTTAGCTAAAACAAACTTTAGAGCGTTTGCTGCGGTCCACCATGGTCCAGGAATGTAAACAGAAGAACTCTCTTCTGGCATGCTTTGTTGACGTACTTTGTAACAAATGACGTGACATAATGGTCAGCGTAGCAGGTCCTGGCAGATACGTGCAACGTTTATGGACTGTAAAATGCTCACTGCAGTACAATCTGTAGAGTTGACTGAAATATGTACAAAACTGGGAACTGATAGGCAGAGTTGAATTGCATATGTCCACAGATCTTGGATATTTGGCACCAGATCCACCTTGGAACTGGTTCTTGATACCCAACCCTAATCAGGAGAGGCATTACTTGGGATCAGAAAGTGAGCTTGTTCGTGTGCTGAGACCATAGAGAAAAAAAAGGACATCTTGACCCATGTATTCCAGATCATATGCATAACTGGGAGCTCCATTGTATGGGGGTGGCAGAGAGGCTTTTTAGCAGCACACTGTATGTGATGACTAAACTCGATTCTCTTTAAATCAGTGATGATCAACAAGAAAACATTTCCCACATTGAGCATTGGAAGTGCAGGTAGGTGGATTTTGTTTAGGCAAAGCCAGGCTAGCTGTTTCCTCATTTTCCAGTGTGCTAAGTTAAGCTAACAGGCTGCTGGCCTCATTACACCAACAGATATAGGGGGTGTTAATCTTCTCATCTAAATTTCAGCAAGAGGCAAAGTGTTTTTCCCAAATGTATTGAGAATATTGCACCCACAAATTGCTTTGAGATTGGTTACAGGTACCCCCCAAAAATAAATGCTTGATCTTTCTAGCTAGCACTTTCTAGCTTCACACTAAATAACTTAATGTCTGATAACCGTGTGAGGTTGAATTTCTCTGTCCACTTAGGTTTACAGTTCCTCCCTGACGATAAATTCTTGTTAAGCACAGCCTTGTTTTCCATTTTTATGATGTCCGATTTCATCCTCATTGCCCTTAGTGATGACAGTGTGCTCAAGCAAAACACTTTGTTGACTCTCTTGAGCGAATCCCACATTGCCCGGAGTGAATTTAACATCTCTGAAATTAGACAGCAAGCCGGCCCCTTAATCCTTGGTTGGCTGGCTCTGCAGAGGCTAATGGAGTGAGGAGAGGAGGGAATGGGCGAAGCTGACACTCACCTGCAGTTCCAGCATTTTTTTTGTTTGTTTTAAAAATAGCTGCTGGACTGCTACTGAATAAAACATCAACTGTGCCTGTTTATTTTAAACTGAGTGCGGCATTCTTGATAGCGACCACGTGTGGAAACACTCTCACACTGGATGTCTCTCTCTCTCTTTCTCTCTCTCTGGTCTTCAACAGTTGTGCTGTGTAATGTTAAGGTATTTTCGTGCCTGCATGAGACAATCTTTGCCATGCAGCCTTAAAAAGCTGGGAAGGAATCCAGCAGCAAAACATGATCAGACTCAAAAGGGGATGTGAGAACTTGTGTATTTGAACTTGTGCTAACAGTAACACATCTGACAACTGCTTTTGACTTGTTGGTGTTCGTGGATTCAAACTGTGGCCGAACAACACCGCAATTCTACGGAATCTGACTAATACAGCAGGTCTGTAGCCCTTTCCCCTCAGCGCAGGAACATCTGGTTTGCACATCTGTCTT